GGGAGAAGGACGAGCTCACAATGGCCCTCGGGAATCCTGAGCACCCTGGACGGACACGAGGCACGCCAGGCTCCATTCCGTGGAAGGTTGGTTTTCCGGACGCAGGGGGTTACAAAACCCACGAGAGGAGGAAGAAACTGGAGCAGGGCCAACTGCAGGCGCTGCATGAAAGGGTAATGGGGCTAGAGGAACGAGAAGAGGAACGAGAAGCAACAGATCGCAGCAAACGACCTGCCGAAGCTTCCCCCGAAGCTACCCCGCCATCTCAGTGGAGAAGCAGCGTGGTTTCCACCGAGCTGCTTCAGCCGGAGCATGTCTTGACGGCTCCTGCCAGCTATCCCGTGGATGCCATCACGGAGTCTCAACATTGCCACATTATGGCGCGATGGATGAATTTGAAGGTCAAGGTGGTTATTGACTCTGTTTATCCTACTGGATCCGGAGCAACTTATCACTGCCGGCCGATTCCAGAAGGATATGCTAAGGTGATGGTGGATGAAATAACGGAGGGATTTGAGGACATCCTGCTTGACCACCCTATCGGTGAAGGGGAGACTAGGCTGGGTTCTGCTCTGAAGACTCCATGCCTATGGCGGAAGGAGTTCATCAACCTTCCAAACTGGACGCCTCCTCCTCCTCCTCCTTCTCCGGCGAGTCAGGGCACCCCGCCTCCTCCACCGCCTCCTCCTCCGACGAGTGACGACCAGGGCATGCGTGGCGGCACTCCGCCTCCTTCTCCGGCGCGTGGCGGCACTCCGCCTCCTTTTCCGCCTGCGCCGGCGCTCCTGATCAGCCAGTAGCCTCCTCCTTCTCCGCCTCGCCAACAAGGGCGGAAGAGACCCGCCGCCGCCCCGGCTGCTCCAGCGCGTCGTACTCCTTCTCCTCCGCCTCGTAAGCAAGCACGAAAGAAGATAGACGCCGCAACCGCTCCGTCTGCTCCGGCGTCTAGCAACACAACCAGAGGCGGGAGGCAATACAGATACGGTCCACCTCTCAAGCCTCTAGAGAAGTTACCGTACGAGAGGACCGAGGAGGAAAACGATACGATTGTGCGGACCCATGTGAAGGAGTTCTTTGAAGGGGTGAAAGCAAAGAGACATCCACCTCCGGAGGAGAAGGTAGATCCGGTGAAAGCAAAGCGCACTATCGATGCCTTCAGGAAACCACCAAAGTCTCTGCCGAGAACCAACTATGAGTGCATTACTGAACAGACATATCTCCAAGCCCAACGGTCGGGAACTACTGTCAGTGCTAAAAGGTTCAAAGAACGAGCAAAGGGGAAAAATTGCCCAGCTCGGCGAACAAGCACAGCAATCATGCCCCCCCGCTCAATGTGTCTAATGCTCCGGGGACGGTGGCCGGTTATGGAAATCTTGCAGATTACCTGCCTGACGATCAACTTCCTGATTTCTTGGAGGTGGACGAACACAGATACGAGTACGGGAAGCCTCTCATCAAAGATGAAAAATCTCTGACAACAATGATGCGAAGATTTCATAATTGGTACATGGAAACCTGCAGAGAGTCTGGGAGTACGAATGATTTGTATCTGAATATTAAAGAGGAGCACGACCTCGTTGCAAATGATCTGTTGACTATTACATTTGATGAGTTCTTCACGTTCTTCAATCAAAAGGCCCTCGATAAACTAATGGTCTTTTGCTACTGTCTGTAAGTACTATTTCTGTCATTAAGTCTCTATATATAGCTCGGCTCTTTCATTTCATGTATTTATAATTAATTATCCTCAATATATTATGCAGATTGAAGATCGTCGAGTGCAAAAAACAAAAAAATTATGATATTGGGTTCATTAACACAAATATCATAGATGAATTTCTGGTTAAAAAGGTCGTCAAAGAGGCCGAGGACAACCTGCTACGATCGTTGATCAAAAATCAAAACAAAGATACCATACTCTTTCCTTACAACGGCAAGTGAGTGTTACTGTCGTGTGCATATTCGGTTTCCCTTATTACTCGAGCGAGGTTATAGTAATGTAATTGATGAGTTATGCATGTGTTCGCAGGTACCACTATGTTCTTCTGGAGATTAAGCTTGAGCGGGGACTAGTAACCGTCTTAGACTCGAGACGGAAAGATCCCAAAACCTATGCGGACATGACTGAATTGCTCAACAAGTAAGTTCAATCGATCATTATCGCACCATATCGGCAACTTTTTGTTCATTTCCTGATATCTCAAGTAATAATAATTATTTTCTTTGTCTTGCAGGGTTGGGAAACAGTTCATCGCAGAAGCTCCGGGACTGCCGAAGGAGCTGCGATATACATACCCGAAAGTAAGTACTACTGGCTAGCTAGTTGCGCGCATCTCCCGTTGATTCTATAGCTATACTTTCATCAATGCCATTTATAATGCTTCATTATCAGTTTGATTGACCTCTATTTCTCGTAAAGTGCTTGTGGCAGGAACAAGGGGATGATTTCTGTGGATACTACGTGTGCGAGTTCATCCACAACACGACTTTGAAAAACAAGCGGGGCTACTCTAAAAGACAATATGAAGTGCGTAAGAAATAATATTCACAATTTCATTTTATTACACCATCATTTCTGTTGAGTTTCATTCATATATATGTATTAATTAACCCCCTTCTTCAAATTAGACGTGGCAGATGCGGAATGAACTCCTAGAACCAGATCGCATGAAAGCAATTCAAGAGGAATTGGCGGGATTCTTTCTTGACCACGTCATCAATAAAGCGGGAGAATACCATGTGCAAATTGATTTCAATTGCTAGGGGATTGTAATTAAGAGATCTTATACATTTGTACATGTATGTAGCCAGTAGCGTCGGATACATGATATACGAAAACTTGTTGTTCGACCAATCTCTCGGAGAAGGAGAGGTCGATCAATCACTTCTCTCGGTATGCATGACGAACTTCTGTACTCAATAGTTCTCTCGATCACTTATGTATATATAGTACGTAGCGTCGACCAAGTACGGACATAAGAAAGGACACTTATCTCTATTAATTAGCTAGCTAACACAATATATGAAACACCTAAATTAACCCCCCAAAACCCCCAACCCCCCTTCTTTAAAAAAAACAAAAACCCCAACCACTGGAATGCTGACGCGTGGATGCCTTTTGGTTCCGGTTGGTACCACCAACCGGGACCAAAGGCCCCCTGACTGGGCTCGGCGCACAGGGCCACGTGGTGGCACATTGGTCCCGGTTCGTGTTTGAACCGGGACTAATGGGTGGAGGTATTAGTAACGACCCATTAGTCCCGGTTCATGAACCGGGACTAAAGGCCCTTACGAATCGGGACTATTAGGTGTTTTTCTACTAGTGATGGGGTAGGGTTGTCAATGAGAGGAGGCAATGTTCCCGCCCGGGATGGATCGTTTCCTGTTGTGCCAAACAGGTCGAGGGTTGATATTAACCAGGATGAGAGAGGTTAGGATACAAACTTCAGGGATTTAGGGGTTGTTTGGATTGTGACTACATTTGCCATATATTGCCAGGGCCGTACCTGAGAAAAGGGAGGCCCGGTGCGAAATCAAATTATGGGCCCTTGGCATTTTTTCATTTTCTTAACTTTTCCAGGTCATGACTCATAGTTCCTTTTTTTGACATCATGACTCGTAGTTCCTAATTCTTCCGAAGAAACTGAAGAAGGTAAAACTAAGAGACAAACATCCAATGTTAAAAATTGGACATATACAGATAAAGAGGATTGAAGCTACCTTAGCCTTCAATTGCAGTCAGGCTCCAATTGATGCTGATGCACATAAGTTGCAGTGCTGGCAACAGGCAGCTAAGTGGTCGAGAGAAACACTGATATGCAACCCTACCGATTTGAGATCTGAGAAGAATAGAACACAAATAAAAAAATGGGGATTGAGAGTGGAACGTTACCTATTGGAAGTTCATCGCAATGGGTTATTTGTGGAAATAGCATAGAATTAGCAGATGGGGATTGGTAGTGGAACGTTACCTATTGAAAGTTCATCGCAATGGATTATCTTGTGGTAAATGTGAAAAAAAAGAAGATGGGGGATTCAGAGTGGAACCTTAGCAAGGAAATAATGTTGATGAGGATTTAGGAATTATGAGTAAACTAAGGATCAAGGAGTGAAGATTGATGAGGAGTAAGAAGCCGAAGAGTAGATAGAGAACCATGCGTGAGAACCTCATTTTTTTATGGAAAAAGGAGCCATGCGTTGAGGAGAGGCCGGATAATTTCTTCATGCAGGTTCCCATGTAGTAGTATTGGCTGAGTTAATTAAGCGCCAGGTTCCCATGCGTGAGGAGAGGCTAGTACGTTCCTGCCTTGGTTATTTCAACCGTCCATGGTAACAAGTGTACCTACCTCCTACTAACCCCAGCAATTAACTAATACTCTCGCTGATTTGGGGGCCCTGCTGACTTTGGGGCCCTGTGCAGGCGCACACGCTGCACATGCGCCTGGTACGGGCCTGTATATTGCCATATGATTTTTGCCACACTTGCCACACTTTTCTTAATTGAGTTGCTCAAATTGTTAGCCACACTTTGGCTTGCTTAAGAAAATCTTACCATACTTTTTGTGTCTATGACATGTGAGATTTACTGCTTATAAAAATATTCTTGCCTTAGATGTGGTTAGAATCAAACACCTAAATAATTTTGATCAAACTTGTTTAAAATGAGGTGTAATAAAGTGTGGCAAGATGTGACTTGGAACCAAACAGCCCGTTCGTTAGATGTGGGGAAGCAGCCGTGGATGTCCCTTTTTTTTCTCTCCCCGCGTCTCTCCTGCGTTGTGTTGCGGCGGACGGGGGCCCCACGGCGCGAGGCGACGGGAGCAGCGCCGCCACAGAAAGCAGCACGCGGCCGGGCCACCACACACACGCACGCACAGATCTCTGCCACTGACGGCCCGAGCGCCGTCCTCCGCCACAACTTCGCCATGGGCGCGCGCTAGCCCCGCCCTTCTTATCCCCGTTCCCCGACCACCTATGGCCGCTGCTGCCCCTCTCGTCCCATGGCACTCCTCGCGCTCCGCCTCGGCCACGGCAGCATCCTCCCCGCCCCGCCGCTCCGCCCCCAGCGCCAGCGCCAGCACCTCGTCGTCTCCTGCAGCGCCGTGAGCGACGGGGGCGCGGCGGTGGTGTGGTTCAAGCATGACCTCCGCCTCGACGACCACCCGGGCCTCGTCGCTGCCTGCGCCGAGCCCAGCCGCCCCGTCGTGCCCCTCTACGTCTTCGACAGCCGCATCCTCGCCGGTGAGTCGCTGCTCGGTTCTACCGTCGAGGTGCCTGCGGTCGGGACGGGGTTGAGGAATGGGGATCGGTAGTGCACGGGGCGTGTTCGGTACAATGCCTTCACCGTATGGCGCTTGTGTGCTGGCGCGAATTCTCTGCCGTGTCGTCCTGCTTCACAGCTTCAGCAACATTGATGCGACAGCTAGTTTGCTTTTGACGCTTGGTTTAGTGGTTTTGTAGAAATGCAAAGCAAACAAACGCCAAATCACACCGGGCAAGGTCTCCCTTGTAAAATTGAACTGTCAGGTGTTGTCCTCGTTGCCATTAGCATGCTGGTGTAAGACGCAGTTTGCCATTTGCCATAGACACTATTAAATGGACAAACCAGTTCTTCCTTGTACCACATCGCAATTGTTGCTTCTCAGGATAGTGTGACTCCATTCGAATCCCCACATGTAGGTTAATGTTGCCAAATTGTGCATAACACCTGCCTGTCAGGCCAATAAGGTCTGAAGAATGAGACTTGGGTGCTGTAAACTAGGTCACCGATACTGTTTCTGCTTCTCCAATGATTGAATTATATACCTCTTAATGAACATGCGTAAGCAAACCCTGACTTGTCTAAAACATGGTTTAACAACATGAACCATTAAATGCTATTTGACAGTTGACATCTAATGGGTTTTTTAGCAGGCAGATTTCCTGCCGGCTTAGTTTCAAAAACATTTAGACTGTTGACATTCACATTGGTATCAACTCTTTAATACTTTACAGGTTACTCAGACACAAGGCTGGAACTTCTACTTTTTGCTTTGAAAGACCTTAAGTTGGCATTGAAGTCTCAACGGTCTGATCTGCTCATAGGCTTGGGAAATGCTGAAGATGCTGTTCTGAAACTCGCAAACGAGGTCGCTATGCAAGGTTCATGTTGAGAATTGAGGTTTAAGAGTATATGCATACCCTCCTAACACATCCGGATCTCCTGATTGCATGCATTGGTGGAGTATAACAGGTACAAGCGGGTGTCATTTATACAGAAGAGGAAGTTGAACACAGTGTGTGCAGTGTTTTAGCCAATGTTGAATCTTCTTTGTCTAATGGATCGTTCACACGGGGAAACCCTCCTGAGATAAAGTTCTGGACTGCCCCATTGTATGATTATAAGGTAGTTAAAGTTTGATATCTCAGGTGTTGAACTCTCTTTATTATCATATAGCAAATTGATCATGTATGGCATGCTGAAGTGATCATTCCACCAGAGTTTGCGGCAACTGTCAACATCACGCAACCAATTTTTGAATGAGAAATTCTCGACAACTACAGCTCTCCCTGCCCCCACTCTTCCTACTCTAAATGTGGAGTTAGACACAGGTGCACTTCGATTCCATTCGTTTTGGCTGATAATTATATGTTTCCTTGAACATATCGGTGTGTCCATTTAGATATTACAACAGTTTCCTGTTCAGGTTCTCTACCCACACTTGAAGAACTAAAGGTATTCCTGAAAGAGAGCAGAATGGCACAAGATAATTGGGTTCCTATCAAGAGCACGTCAGCAAGATCTATGCTAAAAGCCGCCCTCATTCAGAGGAAGATTAAAAGTAATGTTTCCTTAAGTGACGGCGATGGAGGAAACATAGAAGATATCACCACAAGTGCTGGTGCATCAGGGAGGAAAATAGCTGGTTCAATGTTTGCATCGGAAAGTTCACTTGAAGTTAGAGGTGGAACGGATATTACTCTGGATGCTTTAGAAGCTTACCTGAAATACCTAGAAGGCACAGGAAAGGCTAGTTGGCAAGAGTATGTATCATGTCCTGTTGTTTTCATTTAATCAGATTCTTATTAGATGGTTTGTTCACTCGAAGCCAAAATTGCAGAATACATAGTTATCAACATTATTATTGTGGTTGTATTAAGAAAATGTTGCCTAGCACCCATTCCCAATGAAATGACTTCTTGTTTCAACCTGTTATTTATGCAATATAGTCTTAGCATTAGTATATATCATCATTATCCATTTCTGTTAACAGGTTTAATTATATTCTTTGTCCAGGTTGCATGATAAGGTGCGCTTTGCTGAAACCAGGGATGGTGCTTCGTTTCACACGTTATTTGGTAATGCAATTCAGCTTGGAGTCATATCTAGGAGGAGAGCTTACCAAGAAACTATTCAATATGAGAGAGATCGCAATGCTGGCTTTCTATCACCGTTTGGATACTCAACCCCTACAGTGACATCAGCAGTAGATGCTATCTGTTCATTGGAGGTAATTGATATATTCCCCAGTATTATTTTCAATATCCTGCCTTTTTCACCTCTTCTGGACTCCCCTAACAATCTATTTGTTCACATTAAAGTGGTACTGGCTCTTGGCATTGAAATCCCAAGTATCCATTGAGGAAAATTATCCTTTAAAGTTTTGGAGATGGAAGGGTTATCTTATACAGGTAAGTTGTATCTCTTCCAGTTCCACCCTCTCTTGTACATAGGCGGATGTACTCTGCTTCCAATGCATCAGCATCCATTACCAAGTATCAATTTTGGTAGGTTGCCCACCTAAATGAAAACAAGAGGTCGTGATTCATACTCTTATCCATGTTTGTATCACGACCTCTTGTTTTCATTTAGTTTTCAATAGAGTTGCCAAGCATGAGAGTATTACCTTATCCATGTTGGTGGGCAACATATAAAAGGAAACTAGTCTTGATATAGGATGGTGAAAAGCAGCAATCCTTGTCTGGACTGAATATTGATAAATCAGACAACAACTGTGGGTCAACAACAATTTTCAAAGGATCACTGTAATTGTCCCACTTGCACTTGTATCCTTCCACAACTCACCATGATCTATATATACAATTAATTCTGGTCTAGCAGTTGAGATGTGAGTTACCATTGCCAATTTTACTTTATAAACGGACACCTATGCAGATGGGTAATAACACTCTACACATCCCAAATTAGCATCACATAGACTAAGGATGCTTCTAAATGAAGTTAAAGCTTTTATTCATCAGTGCAGTACCTCTTTTCTCAAAGTCAGATTATTATTTTCTTTCAAAAGCTAATAAAAAAGTACATCTTGGTTCCCATCTGTTGGCTCTGTGTGATCACTGGGTCTTGGTGGAACCCTGCATTGTGTTAATTGATTATTGCAATTGTATGCAGTATATATCTAACATGGACTAGTTTTTTTCACACAAGCTTGTCTCATGGTGTTATCAATAGACTTAACACACAGCTTGATGATCCTTCTTCGATGAATATATACTTTTTACTTTTCAAATTTATTAGATTCTTTTCTTTATGCTTCTATAGCTTGTGCACATTCAGCATATCTTTTTTCTGCTTGGTCTTGCGGTTATGCAACTAAATTTATCGATGTACGCAATTTTGTTTAGATCGCTTCCTGGGATTTCATCATTTAATTTTTTATTGGCAGTATACATCTGTTGGCCATGAAGGTCCTGCAGTTCTTCTCGTGCATGGCTTTGGAGCTTCCTTGCAGCACTTTCGTGATAATATCAGCAACATTGCTGATGAAGGACACCGAGTTTGGGCAATTACCCTTCTTGGCTTTGGGAAATCAGAGAAACCAAATGTTGACTATTCAGAACTTCTGTGGTCAGAATTACTGAGGGACTTCATTGTTGATGTTGTGAGGGAGCCTGTTCATCTTGTAGGCAACTCTATTGGAGGTATGCTTTGACATACTAATCTTTCAACATTGCTCGGTGACGGGCAATAAGCCAAAAACAACTTCGTTTGGAATAATCTTAATTTAATCATTTTCTTGCTGTAATATTCTCAGGTTATATCTGCGCTATTGCTGCTGGCTTATGGCCTTCCCTTGCAAATTCTCTTGTTCTTCTGAACTCAGCTGGTTCAGTTGTTCCAAATTACTCCTTCATCCCACTGAGTAAAGTAAGGCAACGAGAATTCAATGGAATTACTTCGATTTAAATTATGTTTACTGATTCAATGCTGTACAATATTTATGGGTCAAAGATGTGAAGTGCTAGTTGCATCAGTTAAACATACCATATGTTTGCCATGAAAATTAAGAGCAAGCATATTTTTTATTGTATTAGTGTTTGAGATATTGAATATCTATGTGGGGTTGGGGGGTCTCATTCATTTTCATGTGTCTGCAAACTCACAACAACATAAAAAATATAAGTACCAGAACTCGGTAATATTGTTTGGTCCACATCGATGTCTTCTTGAATAGTAGATCAACATATTGTTAGCTGTTAAAAGCTCTATTGTGAAAATTAATTTTGGATGCAATGTTTGTTTCTTATTTTTGGTATGGAAGCATTCACAACTCTGATGGCTAATATATTTCAGGTAAAAGTTTTAAGGTCCAAATATATATCATTGATACTTGTATTCAGCCATTATCCAAAGGGAATTATGACATGGAAGACATAAACAAAGAAAAGCATAATCTTTTATATTGGACTTTAACATCTGAGCTGCATTAGTTTTATATATTAATTTGATGCTATTATATGCGACACGTACAGGAAGGACGGACCTCATGGCTTTCAAGGTTGCAGGCACGCCTCCTTTTGCTCTTTTTGAGGTCAAGGGCAGGAGGCATTCTCAAGGGATACTATCCTACTGTATGTGTATCTTCAAATGTGCCAATTTTTTTTTTTATATTCACATAGTACCTATTTGTTAATATTTACTAAGAAATACTGTCCTTCTCATTTGTAGAGAACTGAACGGGTTGACAAGCCACTCGTGGATGAGATTATAAGAGCTGTATCCTCAGATCACACAGTATATGTTTTACAGACTTAATTTTCACTTCGTGCACCGTATTCTGCATTTATTTCCTTAAGAAACAAATGCAGTCATATGACCCTGGTGCAACAACAGTTATCGAGAGCGTATTCAACTTCAATCTTTCAATTCCTCTTAATTTTCTATTCGATTCTTTTGGAGGGAACATCTTAGTTATTCAGGTATGTGCCTAACATCATCCACGGACATCGTATCTATTTATACCAATACCTATGTAGTTGACTGTTGACATATGTGAGGCTAATTCTGTTACTATTTTCTTATTTTGAAAAAGGGAATAAAAGATCCGCTTATAAAATCCGAGTCATTCGTTTCCATGCTTAGAGAGCATTGCAGCAAGGTCCAAATTAGGGAGTTAAATGCAGGTGACTGAGAATCTTCTCCTTTCCCCTCTCCTCTCTATTTTGTGTTTGGCTTTGGTTCTCATAATAAAACACAACAGGTCATGCTCCGCATGATGAAGTTCCTGATGAAGTGAACTCCTTACTGTCTGAATGGATGAAAACGAACAAGACTGAACTTAAGCCAGCTTTGGAGAAGTCCAAGGCAATTTAGGTAACATTTCGTTTTCAGGGCACCCTTTCCGTCAGGCTGTTTGTATAATATCATCGCCTCGTTGGAGCCATTTGATAACACATGTATCCCATGTATTTCCAACAATTCTGTACAAAACATTACCTTACAGATATGGTTACCTCTTAGGTGACAAAAAGAACATGAGTTGCTAACGTTGTACAGAATCACATATGTACATCAGTTATTAGTTTTGTACCATCTTTTGGCAATTTCAATCAAAAGGAAAAAAACTAGCATCAGTGTTTTTCTTAGGCATAGCAACTTGACAGAATGTGACATGCAATTTGCACTCGCAACGAACTTACTAGTGGTTCCTAAAGTTGCTTTTGATCATCGTATGGATCTGGACCAGAGAATCAACCTTGAACCCGACAGTGCGAGTAATGTCCAACCTAATCATACATGCTTTTGATCTCATTGTGCAAGTTATGTCTAGTCATAAATCATAAATACATCTGTACTTGCTTACTGCTTGCTTGCACTCCACTTATTTTATTTGGCATGGCGTGGATGTGGCCACTTGATGAATATGCATGCCAACTTATTGTACAGATTTTTGTTTCTTTTTCCTCTAACAAATTCCCACAAACCCGATTGTAATCACCTCACTGAACCATCCTCCAGGGAAATGAATTATTTTAACTTATGAAAGGAATCGGCTAGTGTTTTAGTTTCATGGTGGAGACTAGGGAATTCCATCTCCCAAGTGCTTGGCCTGGGTTCAAAACTTCAGTCAGGCAGGATCACAGTTGTCACAGGGTGCTTTCATCGAAGTGTGTATGATCATGTTTAAACGTCCTAAACTACTAATCAAGGAATCGCATCATCATTACTATTGTTATTGTAACTACATATTTTTATTTTTATCGTCGTCGTTGATATAATTGTTATATAATCATCATCATCCTTCATTTTTTTGTCCAGCTAATGTTATGTAGAACTGGTTTATGACTGACGCCTCCAGATGCATGCTTACAGTCTTCCATACTGAACAATCCTTCTTTGCTACAGAAAGGTGTCTTCCTCGGCAATGGACCATGGTTTCATCATGATGAGCATGCACTACGTCATTATTGCATTTATCGAGCTCCATTCAACGTAATATCGACCAATCGCTGGCGACATGCACCCTTTGGAAGATCATGCGATGCCCCTATCAGTTTGGTCGCCTTCTTTCTCCGTTGAGAAAGAACCGAGCATTAGCACTCCACGACAGCAACCTCTCCACTGTTCTTAGAGTCGAGAGTGATATCATGTCAGTCATGATACATGGTGTGATTAATCTGCCCTCCTTTTGCGTTGATGTGCAATCTTCAGTGATTTGCTTGGCCTTTTTCTCGAGACTGTGATTTGCTTGGCTTTGCTTTGCATTTCAAGGAATCTTGTACGTAGGTCCAGCATCAGCAGCACTTGATATATCCCTCTTAGTACGTACGATCTTGGTTCTTTTTACTTGAAGTTTTTTACGATATGGTATCCAGTTTACGGATTTGATTGCGACCTTATCTAATTACAGGCTAGTACGATAGTGTATGATGAGAAGGTCTTTTTATGATGAATCTACCAATAACATGTGCACATGAAACTAGGTAGGCACTGTCTTCTGATCCAAGTATTGAAAGGCTGAGGCATGAATGCTGAAGTGACACCTCAAAAACGTCGAAGGAGATGAGTATCTCATCATGTATTCCTACGCTTTAGTTGGTGGCCATCTGCAAAATCTTTGGGCAGGGCTCCCCATCAGTGAGGTTAAAACACAAAAGCAGCTGTGATTACGATCACCCAACCAACCCACCTTATCTATGTGTGCACAAGCTTTCGCCTTGTCTGGACAATCACCAAATCTGACAGCGACGCGACCAGCCCATGGCCTCCACTCCAAAAGATGGACGGATGTCAAGTTGCGGCAGCCTCGCGGATGACCTATTCCTTTCGGCAAGCTGTTCATGTCTCTTGACTAGCGGTCCATGGCCATAGCCTCCACTCCAAAAGATGTCAAGTTTCAGTCCTCGCAGCTCACCAATTCCTTTTGGCAGGCAGCTCATGTCTCCTGACGAAATTCCTGCCCCCTAATGATATGCCAAAGGGTGTATTGCGCACGCTTTGCTTATGGCTACATACTAGTTTGTACTCCCTCTGTTTCTAAATGTAGGTCCTTGTAGAAATTTTAATATGAACTACATACAAATGTATATAGACATATTTTAGAGTGTAGATTCACTCATTTTGCCCCCAATATCGGGGGTTGGATACGACATATGCCAACGGATGGCTTATCATGGTGGGGGCGAGTAGAACGTCGCCGGTGCCTGGAAGCGGGATAAGACGTAGACACGTACGCCAGCGAACTTTACCCAGGTTGGTGGCTCTCCGTGGAGATAATAACCCTACTCCTGCTCTGCGGGGTCTCCGCATGATCACTAAGGCACTAGTGCTACAAGTTGCTCCTTGAGCTATGTCTAGAGGTAGGAGAAGGCAAGGCTAGCTCTTTTCTCCTCTAGGTAACTGGCTAGTTCTATCAGGGTTGGAACCCTTTGCATGGGTGGCCTGAGGGGGTTTATATAGGCCTACCCCCCAGGGGTACAATGGTAATCCGCCCGGGTGCCGGGCCCGGTTGTCAGTGTCTTCAGCCTCCGGCTTCTCCGCCGACCGTTGGGGCCCGCCGGCTGGTTGGTGGCTGCTTACTGTAGTCGTGTCGTTGATGACGGGGGCTTGGTCATCCTAGTATGGCTACAGTCCCGCCGCCTGGTGGGAGGCCACTGTAGCCACACCTGGTCTTGTCAGCTTAATGGCATGCTTGCCTCGGGGCAAGGGACGACCGTCTGCTGGAGGTCGACCCCTTCTGAATCCGCCTGGTTGAGCTTTCGCCGTCTTGTACGGGGTCACTGCCCGATAGGGCCAGCCACCGGCAGGCCGTACCGACAGGCCGTCGTGGGGAACAGGACTCCGCCTGCTCGGAGCAACGTCAGGGGAGACACGACACAGTGCCCCGTCGTGCGGAGATCTCTGCTTGTACGGAGCACTGTAACCACGCCTGTCCCGAGCATCGGAGGGGATGGGCTTCACTGTAGCCACGCTCTGTCTTGTACTCTTGATGGGGGGCTCGGCCGCACCGGAGTCGTGAGGTGGCCGCCTGCCTGACGCCGCCCTCTCTGGAGGCCGGCCAGCAGGAGTCGGTCACTTGGATCGCCGTAGGCTTGGGTCAGCCGCCCTCTGGCAGCCGTCCGTTGAGCCAGCCGGCTCCCTGAGGGCGGAGCTTCAGCCTGGGGTCCAGCTAGGCGGAGCTGGCCCAAAGTCTTGATAAATCCAGGGACCCGGGTGAGCCTATCCGTGGCCCATTACACCGACAGTAGTCCCCGAAGCCGGTGAGGCGTTGCGGTCGAGGGGCAGCGAAGTCTCAGCGGCTTCCCCTCCTCACCGGGCTCCGAGAAGATGTCAGTCCGCCACACAGCCAGCCGACTGTCGAGGCCGGCCTGGTCCGGGCGGAGCTTGTGTGATTGGGTTTTGAAC